ATTCATGCGACGAGGTATACTCCTTATTAATGTTCTAATTTCAGACTGCGTAATGTCATTCCACTCTATTTCAAGAACTCTTCGAAGTTCTGGCAATGACTGAGGAGCAGGTATATGATTTCGTACTTTTCTGTTAATATTGTCCCATAGGTGTTCAATGGTATTTAAATCTGGACTCATTGCTGGCCATTCGAGTCGATTTATGCCAACTTCATCGAGAAATCAAGCACTTTTCTCGCAATGTGCGGTCGAGCATAAACAAAAAGTCAGGGCGGAGAAATCACAAAAGATCTGCAGACATCTCCTTCGGATGCAAAACAATTGATTGAAAAATAATGGTTCGAGTTTGCAACGGTGCACGGTATAAACAAAAAATTGTAGCTTATTGGGATCAAAAGCGTACGAAAGTACAGAGTCTCCTCTTTAAAATGCTTTTTTATGCATCTCGATACGATGATTTTTCGCTGAGAGATTCGCATTTGAAGTAAGAATCTGCCTTTTTCTTCAAATGCGAATCTCTCGGCGAAAAATCATCGTATCGAGATGCATAAAAAAGCATTTTAAAGAGGAGACTCTGTACTTTTGTATGCTTTTGATCCCAATAAGCTACAATTTTTTGTTTATACCGTGCACCGTCGCAAACTCGAACCATTATTTTTCAATTTTGCATGCTCGCGCTTTGTCATCCGCCATTTTCAATAAATTTATTTTGCAACATTGAAATAAATTGATTCTTAAAGTAGAGATTTTTAGCTTCATTTCCATATTTTATAGAACTTTCTATCTTTATTATTTACGAAGTTATCGTCAGTTGAAATTTGATGAATTTTTCCCACATTTTCAGTGTACCGCTTTTTTTTCGGGTGAGTGTATATAATTTTAATTGATGATAATTTTAATAGCATAGAATTTTTAAAAATATCAGAAATCAATACTCAATAGTTGAATTTTGATATTATATTTTGATATTATTAAGAAATTTCTAATAATTACAAATTTTCAAAAGATAATAAAATTCAACTAAATGATATTGATTGATGATATTTTTAAATTGTATGCTATTAAAAATTATCGTTAATCAAAATTATAGTTAGTATTTTTCTTTATTGTGAACATTTGCAATCATTAGAATTTCTTGATAATATCATAAAAGTAGTGCTGGCAAAAAGGAATCTATATATTTTCAGGGTCTAAAGCGGGTCAACGGAGGGTTTTAACTAAACCCTACTTTGAAGCTTTAGCAGGAAAAAAGGAAATTTCGGACATATTGTAGCGCCAAAGTAGGTGCTATTATATACATACGATACAATGCATAACATCTACTTTGACTCTCTTATGCCTACCTCAAAATAAAAGATTAAGGTTCAATATAGGTGCTAAATTTCAACTCGGGATTTGGCGTGGAAAAAGTGTTCGTCTTTTGCCGTCTACGATGCACGCGAGAGATCGCAGAGATTCGTAAGACGCACTACCTACTCTAAATCGCAGTCATTTACAATAATTACCCGAGTCGACGGTTGAGAATTTTCGGGAGATAAAAATTCAAATGCAGTTGAAAGTCGGCTGAACGCAGGGCGTAGAAGATTAAGCGCGGAGAGCCGAGAGTTTACCTTCGTACGAATTTACATCCCGCATTCATCATTCATCGCGACCCAGATAATCGTGTGCGTCATTGCGCCACTCGATCGCGTTCGAAAGGTATAAATCCCATAGGCGATAGAAAACTGTTTCGGCGGAACGGTTTGCTTCTCCTTCTCGACGGGAGGCCACGCTGCGCGCGAGATACGCCATATGTCTTCGCCGGGGAAACGCGGTCGCGCTCTTCTCCGCGCGCGCGATCGGCCGTTCGTCGCGAAAGTTGGATCCGGCGCGCGTAAATCTTCCGCGGCCCGCGGGCGCGAAATTTCATTTCGTCGCGCACGCCGCGGCGTGCGCTTTTCATATCGATCGCCGGTTTAGAAATTCTATTTTCGCGCCTGTTCCGCGTGACACGCCGGGAAAGAGCGTGCCGGCGCCTTAAGACTCCGGTCGTTGCCGTCGGATGACGATGGACCGTGAAAAGGTTTTTCCAATAACGCGCATCGAGGGCGCGTTTACGACCGCGCGTTTCGACGTCGGCGCGCGCCTGACGCCGAGGAATCGTGCAGCCAAGACTTCGCGCAGCCCTCGAACGAAAGCGTTAAGAGCGTGCTGTTTGCAATTTTATACTTGCAATATCCCGTTAACGCGCGGACCTTTCAATTATAAATCCTTTCAACGCTTTCAGCCCTTAACGAAACCTTTGTTTTTAATTCTAAGTAATCACGCGTGGCGTACATTCGTTATCATTATAAAGTCGCGCGGCGAAGAGCGGCGAGGGGGCGGAATATTCCGTGTGTCGCGCGGAATAATGAAGACCGAAAACACGGAATGTTCCGTGACCTGCATATGACATGTTAATACGAATTTTGCTTGTAGAACACGTACCAGGGTTTTCATGAGGGCGCTCAGCTCCTTCGTGACCACCGCGAATTTGAGAAACGCCGCGCCTATGTCCGGTTCCTGTTCCTTCAGAGCGGCGTCGCCGAGTCTCTCCAGCGCCCTTCCTAAGTACACCTCGTTGTCCACGTGAGCTGGAAAAAGAAGCGCGCATTAGTTAAATCCCACGCGAAATTCCCGCGCGGAAAGAAAATCTACAAGAGCGTTACGAAAATTACTTAATACAAATTCGCATTTCTCTCCGCGCTAAATTCATCTATCGTTTATTCTATTTCCGACGAGAGAATATGGAAAGCGAAACGAATCCCGACGCTTCCTTTTCGCGGGCGCAGCCCCGTTAAATGTTCCATCGAAATCCACGAGGCTCTAATCGCTCCTCCGCATTCCTGCGAAATAGACAGGCCTCGCGCGTAACTATATCGCGTTATCTTCGCGCGCAAAATCGCTCACGCGCGGCACATAAATTTTCCGCGCGAGCATCGCGCGAATATTAATTCAGCGGCAAACATTCGAGCGCGCGCGCGCGGCTACCATTAAGCCGGCGGCGGCCGTGTCGGGCTATTAAACGCCCGCGATCGTGGTTCATTTCTAGCCGCCGGCCTGCGCTTTTCCCGCGAGCCGCGGCCCGCGGCCGCGCTGCATTTCCGCGAACGCACCGGCCGACGGCGGAAAAGACAAAGAGGGACGAGAGAAAGAGAGAGAGAGAGAGCACTCGCAATTTAACCCTTTCCTACCGTAAGGCGCAACATATTGCCGCGCATTCCAGCATTCTCCGCTCGTACCTCGAATTACGAAGCAGCCTTGCAAGGCTGCGCGCCGCGATACGTGGAATGCATTCTCGCGATAAACGCGTTGCGTTTTCTCTCTCTCCGGCGTTGCGCTCCGCGCTGCCGGGAAAGGACTTTTCCCAATCTCCTCTCTTCGATCCTCCTTCCGCTTCCCGAATCTCCCTCGCCGCAATCTCGGCGCGAAGCGAATCGCCTTCCGCTTTCCGATATTCCAATATAATCCCCACTCTCTCTCTCTCTCTCTCTCTCTTTCTCCGCTCCTTTCTTGTTCGTCTTGCTTTTTCCACCACTTCCCGCAAAGTTTCTCGACCGACATCTCGCCTCTCGCATGTAAGCACGCGCGCACATGATCGAGAGCGCGGAATCCCGCTCGACTGCCGAGTGAAAATAAAAACTTCGCGCCCGGCTTCGGCGACGATGCCGGCTTCTTCTTCTTTCAGCGAGCGTCTTGTTTATCTTCACCGCGGACTCCCGCGATAATTTGCCGCCCC